GGATGGAGCTTCCTGTTCATTTCTTTCCGACCGACGAGTTGTGGGACTTAACTATGCGCGTGATTTAAAATCAATGGATCCGCCACTTTGTGGAACTAGATTTAGACTAATGCGTGATATAATGAACCTGAATATTATTACTTTGGCCCTCTTTTCACTAGGAAGATAAATTTTGTTAAACTGTGATTTTTGAGATTCAATGATTGGTCCTTGATTAATGTTTGTTTTATAAGTACAGTTTGAAAAAAATTACTTAGAATCTTAATACTGAATTATAACTTACATATTTTGCAACTTGAATAAAAACTTTTATTAGAATGTGAAATGTATTTGTTAATAAAGGAAATCTCAATATGAATTCAACGTGATTTCAACCAAATATCAACATTTTTGCAGCCAAAAAATTTCAACCAAAAGTCAACCTAATTTCAACCAATGTTCAACCTTTTTTCAATATTGATATTTGACTTTGAAACAAGGTTGAAGTTTCAACATTGCCTCAACTTTCATTTTGCAACCAAAATTCAACTATAAATCAACAAAACTTCAACCACTTTTCAACGGTTATTCAACGTTGAAATTTGACGTTGAAACAACGTTGATGTCCCAATTGCCTCAACTTTCATATGCAACCAAAATTCAAAGTTGATTCAACGTTGAAGTGCAACGTTGATTCCATGTTGTCTCAACGTTGAAATGCCTGCTGGAAAATCTTACTGGATCGGAAATGGTTCAAAATGTGATTCAAAAATGCATTCCATTGTAGAACTTTTTTTTTTAATTATATTGTACGGTCCCTGAAACGTTCTACTTTCCCACTTGAACGGTGAGCGAACGGTGAACGAACGGTGAACGAACGCTGAACGAACGCAGAGCGAACGGTGAGTGAACGATGTGTGAACGCTGAACGCAACTTGGTGAACGATGTGTGAACGGTGAACGGTGAGCGAACGCAGAACGCGAACGGAGCGCAAACGCGAACGCAAAGTGAACGGTGAACGAACGGTGAACGCAAGATGAACGATTTATTCGGAATGCCTCTGATCTTTTCCTTACATTGAAACTATTCTATTGTATGTATGCCTGGTGCTAAAAAAATAAATGAATAATAAATAAATAAACAAAGTAATGAAAAGTGTCCTAAGAAAGACGATACATGCACAGTAAGTAAAATTATTAATTTAAGTTTCTTACAATATTTTCTGCACATACCGGTATGTACGATGTTTAAATTAAACTTTTTAATAAGACGATTTTTATCGCTGTAAAACATTGTAATTGTTACCGAACGCTGTAGTATTAAAGATAAAATCAATCTAGTTGTAAAATAAATATGTTTATTATTTGATATGTAAAATCATTACAAATAATATGGATTTTAGAAGAGCAAACTACGGACTTATAGAATGAATTACAACGGTTTTAACAACCATACATACATTTCCGTGCCAAGACGATTCCGTGTAAAATAATGAGAAAAAAAAAATAAAATATTTTACAAAGGTATGTGGACGTATTGCATAAATACACCCGTATTTTAAAACTTTAATGCAATAATATTAATTTTATGATTCAGTTTTATTTTTTTTATTATGGTTTATTGAGCAGGCTTCTACATGTATCTGTAGACATTTCCCGGCCGTGATTATACTCGGATAAGATGATACAAAGAGGCATTCATATTATTTGTGATATATTAAATTTTCACAACTTGATATTTAAGTAATATGCTTTCATAGTTTTTATTAAACAGACAAATGAGAGAGAGAGAGAGAGAGAGAGAGAAAGAGAGAGATTCGGTTTTAGCTCCCCTTTCTCAAATGTTTGTACCTACATGTATATCAAATAAAAATTCTTATTTTTTTTTCTTCTAAATATACCAGGCAATGAAAGAAACTATTTTTATCAACAAATCCATTTGTTTTACAGTCGTAATCGGTTTTTATTTTCCTGCTTCAAGTTCACATGAAGTCCACGTGCTTGACCTGTCAATCAAACTCATTCGACACTGTGCAGGTGTGAAAGTCTCGTCACACCGAAGGCAAAGTGTTAAGTATTTCTAAGAAGTTTTAACATATTTTCTTATCATTTCTAGATCTGATTCCAACATTTCTAAAAAAAAAAAAATAATAAATAAATAAATAAATAATAATTATAAATGAATAAAATACATTGGGAATAAACACTTGGAATGATTAAGCAGCTTGAATTTGAAACCTACTCCCTGCCAATTTAAAATATCACCGCCGGCACATGTATATTTTGAACTACTATTGTTTAATGACTTTGTTTAGATGCATGTTTGTTTTGAGACTGAAGTTTTTGTGCTACAAAACACATTAACTTCTATTTAAATGTTAATTAAAATAATACCGAAAATACTAACTAAGTAACCGATTTACGGGAAAGGGGGGGGGGGGGGGCTCTTAATTATATCGAATGGCAAACATATAAATATCATTCCTGGAGAATCACTTTGGTTATATTAACGATAATCATGTTATAAAGGCATTTCTCTCTCTCTAATTAAAGACTTTATATATGTAAAGTAGAAAAAAAATTCTATAATGTATTACATTTAATTTTTTTTTCAAACCACACTATCAATTTAATTCGCTCTAAAGATATTCAATCAACTGTTTATTTATTTATTTATTTATTTAATTAACGCAGTTCTGTTTATAATCCTCAGAATTAGTTCTAACATGTATTTCTGTATTATTTGAAGAAAAAAAAATGTGTTAGAAATAAATATTTTCGTATTTCTGCTGAAGTTGGTAAATTAATTGACTGCGGTTATTATCTATCCATTAACGATTTGTCGGCTTTAACATAACAACAAAATGTTGCAGTGCTTGAAGCATCTGTATATTGCCCGTATTTAAATTTAATTTTTCAGCATCACATAGGTACATACATGTACTTATAACAACATTTATTTTCCAGATAAATTTAATAAATAACCTAACAGCTAAGTTAGAATAATAAAAATAAATATTGTAGATACTTTTTTCTTTAAACACGATATGTTAATTATTAAAATTTGTAAATTTGTACTTAAATAAAGATGAGTCCATTCACTTCGGAGTTCCGAATGACAGTAAAAACTGAACGATAAGTGAACGCTGAACGCAAGGTGAACGCAAAGTGAACGAACGAAGAGCGAACGGTGAACGCTTTGTGAACGGTGAACGCGAGCGCACGGTGAACGCTGAACGCAAAACTGTGAACGGAGAGCGAACGGTGAACGCACGGTGAACGAACGGTGAACGCACGCTGAACGAACGGTGAACGAACGGTGAGCGAACGGAAAGATGGGAAAGTAGAACGTTTCAGGGACTGTATCATGTACACATTGAATTTTTCTAATAATTCTTTCCGTAATATCTCTATCTTTACCACATGGCGTGTGTTCCCTCCTCCATGACACCTTATCCCACCTCTGATGTTTAAGAGGTTTTTGTTTGCTCTGCTCCTGATTTTTATTGTTTGAATGGACTTTTGAGCTTGAATACTCTTTCGTTATCTCCATATATTTCATTGAGCTCGAGATCAGTTAATGCACTGCCACAGCCGATAACGGTTATTTAATGTCCGGTCGAAAAAATAATTATTCAAAACATTCGCACCAAACCTTTCCTAATGTTTTGGCATTTTATACACATAACCCAAGATATTTCTTTAAATTATGTTTACCTCACAATTCTAGCGGTACTTTCCAAAAATTGTAAAACGCAGGCTTCCCATCTGTACAAATCTCACGTTTTGAAGTATCCAGCTTAGTGTTGTTCTTTTGCATTTTTCTTGTCACAAATGATAGAGGAAAGGCCGACCGGGATACGTAAAAAGCTTACTGTCACCACCGGAAGATATAATTGATGAAAATAAATCAACATTCTTATAAGACAAATTTAAATCCAAATGAATTCATACAAAATATTTTGCAGTATTTGCTATTAAACCTACTTACGTATTTTTTTACATGTCGTAACCAAGCTCTCGTTACATAACATGACCAATTCTCAATGTATTTGATAAACATTTATAACGTCATCGGTCAGAGATTTTAATAGAAGTAACAGACACAGCATAACAAAATGAAAACATTTTGTTTTTGTTAGCATTTTCATGTCTCTTTTCACTTACAGGAGTTTAATTACATCTCTAAACACCAGTATTCATAAAACTCGTGTTTTAAAATTGACGACATTCAGCTTAATAGTATAACATATTTTATCACTGATTTAGTCAGTTCAAAATATCTTGTGTGTTTCCACACGTGGAAATTTAAAAATTGATTTTTTTAATAAGTGCTACAGAACTGGTATTGTAATTCACTTTATATTTAAGTAGTAAAAATTACATAACCTGCATAGTAATTTTTTTTATCATATAAAGATCTGTTTTTGTAAGATCTTATTAATTAAAATCGTGAAGTTTAAATGTGCTTCCAGTAGTTCAAAAACACCAGCCTGTAGGAAACATTCTTTTCGGCCTCTCGAGGCGAAAGAAAACAGTCATGATCATATTTAAGTGCCAGACAGGGATTCTAAGTGGTGTGAAGCATGTACTTAAGAGCCCTCTATACACTGCACACTAGAGAGTTCTGATTTTGTGGTATTTTTATGCAAATAGAGTGATCTGCCCTTTGATCAAGAATAAAATAAATTGAAATGTACAACTTATTACTTAATTTGTGATCAAACCAAGCATTTATAACACTTTAATAGGCCAAGATGAATAGATAGAACACTTCATTTGCATATATTTTGCCCACTTAAGTAAACAACAGTGATTTATATTCATCAGTACTTCATTGTCTTTGAACATTTTTCCTGGGGGTAAATGCAAGGCACCCTATGTTAAAAATGTGATAGATAAGCTCAATACTTACACCTTTACACACTATAATTTTCTCAATGTCCTAAAAATATTTTCCTCTAGTGTATAGAGGGTCCTTAAGCAGAATCACTTGTCGACAAGAACATAGTTTAGATTATATAAGATCATGTGAAACACTACATCTTTGTGTAGCAGATTTAATACTTGGAAAGAGAGAATAATTCACTTGCAGGTAATTTCATCTTTTTTATATGCCCAACATTAACAAGAATGCATTAAATAGTTCATTTATTTTATTCGGTTTTCTATTTACTAAACTTAAGAGAGATTTTGAAAGTTTTCAAGTTAAATTGAATCGTTCTCACTTGTAAAAAATATGCAAGCCACTGCACTTAATAATTGACTCTAAAATATGCATAAAAGCAAAGTTATAACAAAAGAGTATGCAAACATTTCTGTTGTTCATGTGAATTTCAACTCGTTAAACTTTGTCAGTCGAAGTATCTGACACTTCGAAATATTTTCGTTTTGTGTATTTTGTCTGTTTTCATTAAAATCTCTGATCATTTGCACCCCTCAGTTTTATTTTTATCGAATCTTTTGTACATTTATTAGTCTTATTTGAATAAACGTATAACTGATTTCCTCGCACTGATATTAACAATACCAAGAAAAATCACAACTAGATCCGATCTCATTGCGAGCAGCGAGTGGGTCTTCCGTCCGATTTTTGATGAGATAAGAATTTGACTGAGATTTTCGTTCAAATATAATGATATAAATAAATTGTTCAGACGAACAATTTTGCTTCAGTAGTGTTTAACAAAATGTTGATCATTAAAGGGTCATAGATAAAGACTTTCGGCCCTTGTTGGCTCCTAATGTGAGAGGTCAGCCCTTTTTCTTGATATCATCCTAAAGCTTTAATGATTTTGAACACTTTTTGTTCAACAACTTTTCAGAAATTCTTTTTTGGTTTTCGGGATAAGCATTAAAGGCCGGCCCTTCAAGTCCTAAATGGGAACGTCTAGCAAAAGTTAAAGAGTGCATATTGTTCAGAATATTATTTTGAACGTCTTTTAGTCATTACTGTTTATCAAAACATTCTTTCTTGATAAATTGCACCAAAGATTATGCAATCTGGCTCCTAATGACCCCTTATTCCATAACGTATGATGTCAACATCATGCTATTTAGTTAAAGAGTGTGAAAATGAACTATTTCGCTTCAGTAATATATTACAAAATATTGATCATTAAAAAGCTATTGTTTGTATACTTTCGGTCCCTCTAGGCCCCTAATTTAAGGGGTCAGACCCTTTTCTTTGATATCACCTTAAAGTTCTTATGATTTTGAACACTTTTTATTGAACAACTATTCAGAAATTCTTTTTCGTTTCCGAGATATTTGCAAAAGAAGTATTTAGGGGCAGGCTCTTCAACTCCTTAATGGGGACTTTTAGCAAAAAATGAAAGGTTGTATATTGTTTAGAACATTATTTTGAACATCTTTTGTTCAATATTGCTTATCAAAATATTTCCCACTTTTGAGATATAAAGCGTAAAAAAATTAGCATTCTGGCCCCTTATGGCCCCTAATTATGTAACATATGATGTAAATATCATAATATATAGTTGTAAATTGCTGAGAGAAACATTTTTGTTTCAGTAATGAGTTACAAAATATTGATCGTTAAAGAGTTATTGATCAAAGACTTTCGGCTCCTCTCAGCCCCTATTTTGAGGGTCCAGCCCCTTTTTCTTCATACCACTTTCAAACTGTCAGGATTTTGAACACTTTTTGTTCAACAACTATTCAGAAATTCTTTTTCGTTTCCAAAATATTTGCAAAAGAAGTATTAAGGGGCCGGCCCTTCAACTCCTTAATTGGGACGTTGCATATTGTTCAGAACATTATTTTGAACATCTTTTATTCAATATTGCTTATCAAAATCTTTCCCACTTTCGAGATATAAAGCATTAAAGATTTAGTATTCTGGCCCCTTATGGCCCCTAAATATGTAAAATACAGTATGACGTAAATATCATAATGTGTAGTTGTAGAGTTTTATGATAAACATTTTTGCTTCAGTAATGTATAACAAAATGTTGATCGTTAAAGAGTTATTTATTAAAGACTTTCGGCCCTTCTTGGCCCCTAATGTGATAAGTCAGCCCTTTTTCTTGATATCATGTAAACGATCTTGAAATTCTACACAATTTCTATATATTCAATATGTTATAAGAAAATATTCACATTTTTGGAGATATGATAAAAAATGTCTCAAAAATTCACTTCTGATTAATGTCCTAAATTTCGACCTCTACCGAGCCTCCATACCTGGCTTTTTTGGAAAAATTGAAAACCCAGGTGCAAAACTTCAACATGTTTTCAATAATCGCTGAAAATTTCAGCGCTCTAGCTTTTGCCGTTTTTACGTTTTTGTGCCGACAAAATGGTCATCTGAAAATCGATTATAGGGCGATAACTTCCGACCGGAAGTGAATTTTGAGGATTTGAACAAAAAAGGATCATATTCAGATCAGAACGCATTACCTTTGAAGATGTCATGAAAATCGACTGAACCATTTGGAAGATATCTTCTGCACAAAATTGTAAAGAAAAGGTGGTATAATAATAAAAGTGAAAAAGAAACAATACAATAATAGAAGGGTCTTTCGTTGGAGACGGAAGACCTAATTAATGGGTCATTTTTCGGAGATGCCACTGGAAGATTTCACACTAAGATTAGTTTCTTTGGGGTTTTTTTCAGCTCTTTGTCATGACTGGAAAAGGAATAATTTTTATACTTCATTTCGTAAGAAAATTTCACTTCCCTGTTTTTTCCTCAATTTTGAATTAATATTACAATTACATAGGGTAACATTTAAACTGCATTTTATTTAGATCTTCTGCATTCAGAGCAATTAGATTAATGGCCATTATTGTCAAAGAGATTATAATCACCATACTATAGTTGTGCTTTTTACATTTAATATTCTTGAAATTGCCAGAAATACCTTAGACACAGACGAAATGTGCAAATTTCTAGTTTCTTAATTCACAGTACCTGCCTAGCCGATGTTTTCAAAAGTTGTAAAAGGTTACTTTTCGCATCATGTAAATTTCTACGAAAAATAGAATTGATTGGACGATTTATTTTTCGATCTTGCAATGGATAGAACGAATTAGTTTTCGTAAGACTTGGCTTTTTTTCGGGAGGAAGACAAGTTGAATGATTGTTTATTTATATGTTGTTTTACGTCCCGTTTGAGAATTTATCACTCACACAGAGACCTCGCTTTATACTGTGAAGGGTGTTGCGACTGTCTCTTATCCTTTCCTGAATATACAACTCTGGTTTTAAACTGTTCCATAACTCTATCCTTTACCTTTCGTTTACACAACTAACCTCTCTATCTCTATTTCTCTATTCAATCTCTATTTCAAAACTTATTAATTATTTTATTTGCACGATCTAAATCTCGTCTCAGTTTTCTGATTAACTTAATTTGCAAAACTTACTTCCTTTTCTAAAACTACACACAAAAGGCGGATAAGAACGAAAATGGAGGATTAAAAATACACTTTAAACTTTGACCTCATAAAAACGGACACATAAACCAAGTAACAAACTGCATTTACGAGATATAAACAATAACGACACTCTAACAATCCCCTTAAGCAAATCAAAAGGAAGGAAATAGAAAAATATTCAAGCAATATGTTAATTGTGACACATTCACAACAAAGGGCTTCAAATTTAGACCTATACTTATTTACTAGCAAGTATGATTGTTCAAACATATTTTGTATATGTGTTAAGTAATACAATTTCCAATGCATAAATGGTTTATTAAAGCCAAATGTTGACTAAATAATGTAACTTTTTATGGAAATTTTCAATGAAAAGTCTTATTATTTTGCGATTCTCATACGGTTGAAACTCTTTAGGTCATAACTAAAAATTAATTAGGTATAACAAATAGTGAGATCTCATTTCTGACCTTTTATAGAAGATATTTTAAAGATTTTAGTAGACTTTTCCCATGTTCTGCACGTTTTTCTTTTACTTTTGATTTTTTTTATCCCGTTAAAATGTATATTGAAATTTGTGGGGGAAATATCCCGCCTACCTACTGACCAATTTCTTTCTAACTTGAGATTGGAGTGGGCAAGCAAACATTATTTAAAGTTGGCGTAGTCATTCTGTTTATTTTATTCAATTTGGATATCCTTGATACTGTATTCGTATAAAACAGCTATCCTGTTTAGAGGTGAATGTTAGATCCTGATTTGTAAACTTTATAGGCACGTGATAGTCCATTATATACGCAGTTCATACACAGATATATTACCGTTGACAAAACTCTTCATCTCAATTCTTTTTCTTTTTTTTTAAGTTTGAAACCACATGAGTGCATAAAGTGTTGATACACTATCAATAACCCTTTTTCTTTTTGATAGTATACCATGTTTCTTAGAAAAAAATAAATATAATCCATTATGTGTATCAATTTTCTTTATATTTTCATCAGGTTTTCTTCAATAATTATCATTCTATTACCCTGTAAGAAAAAAAAAACATATTTAATAATAAGTCATAACATAGGCCTTTTTGTTTAGCTTTAGATGTGAAAAGAAATAAATAATTGGAATGGAGACGAACAAGACGTTTTGGCTGCGGGTCTTCTTTCTAAATATACTCGTGACGTGTTCTCGTTGTGATCAATGGCCATCTCCTACAGCCATAAGAAGAAATGAATCAGACATTCTTCAAACAGTGCTCAGTCTTTTGCAACAACATGTTAAAGACCAAGATGTAAAAATGAAAAGCTTTGAGGAAGAACTTTCTGCTATAAAGAAAATGTTATCACAATGTGAGTATGCTTAATTCCTGTACATTTTTATGAAAATCTTATAGTAATATTCATGTGATTATATAATAATTTCATTTACGTATCAAAATTCTCTGCTCCTTGATTCTTTTCAGGAAAATAAGCCATCTTTAAAGGCTCCAGAAATATCAAATATTTGTGACGCCTAAAATATGATAAAAAATTATTGAAAAAATGATAAATAAAATTTACAACAAGATACTCGCTGTTTACCTGGAAACCAACACGTTATTCCTAAATCTGCATCCAAGAAATTATGCATGCTTGTCTCGAAAATGCAAAATAGTCGCAAAATCTATCTCTTCATAAAGATTGCAATTCTCCGAGACATATGACAAAGTTTAATAGAACATATTACGAAAACCATTGGTCTTATTTGAATATTAAAATATATACGGGTTGACGTCCTTATAAAATCATTTACTCAGCTTTATTTTTTACCGTTCTCTCTAAAATGAGAATTGCATAATTATATGTAATGAAAGTGATCGTTTGGATACGTAGTCCTCATTTGATCGGAGACTTGGTGCTTTACAACATATTCAGGAAGTGGTAAAATTCGAACGAAGATACTTAAAGACTCAAAAAAAAAAAAAAAAAAAAAAAAAAAAAAAAATAGAAATTTGAAATTTCAAAAAAGTTCTGTAATCAATAACATCAAAACATATCATTTTCCTACGCTTTATACATCCAATCTCCACGCTACATTGAAGAGCAGGCTTTTTGTTATTAAAAAAAATCTTCTCAAGGACAGCAAACCATTGTTATATTGATATTGACCATCATTATATATTTGGTTTTAAATGGGAAGTGCATTTAACAAATACATTGTCTAGTATACACTTGACAAAATTGCTAACGCACCACTCGTTATTCTTACTTGTGATTTGACCATATGCCTGATCGGTACTAGTATATAATATATGTCATTTTTTTCCAAAACAGTTGGATTGAGAAATGTCTTTGTGTCATGATAAGATCCTTAAATGACCTTCTTGACCGAAAACCAATTTCCCGACTGTGCACCGTTTTTGCCAAGATATGAAGTTGGCGATCACCGATGGTGGTCCGTAGGGTTGCAACGGAAATAGTCTCCCATTTAAAAATCAAATAATATATCCTGATTGACTACCATATCGCTGAATAGTCATCCTGTGCCATGGTGTCCCTTCCAAATCCACCCACCTTCCGGTTACCCCAATTTTGTGGAACAATCTTGAAATTATTGTGTGGTGCTTATTTAATGTTGTCGCTATCTAAACTAACCATTCTTATGATTGTTGATTCATTTGTAACAATTTTTCAATAGAGGAATGAATGATTATTTAATTGTTTTAATTTTTCACAATGCAGACACCATACTGACTGCCTCATCACCCTCTTCAAGTGTTAAACGCCGCATACTGTGTTACTTTTTCCCTGAGTTTTTTATTAGTACAAACATAAAGAACACTACCACAAAGAGAAATAGAAATTTATTCCATCAAAAAAAGTATGGACATGATTTAAATTTTTTCTATGAAATGGTCACGTTTCAGTAAACATTGTTGTTATTTATCAGTTTCAATGCCTCATTTTGTATTAAAGTAACATAATTATATCAAAAACATCATAAACAAATTTTGGAAAGAAAAATATTAATTTATTTAAGTGGTGCTTTAGCAATTTTGTCTAGTGTAGAAAAGTGATATTAAACCATTTCTTTATCATTTGTTATTATCTTTTTTTTAATATATCAGTTACTCTCTCAACCCATTTTTGAATAATTCTGACTTACTGAGTATTTTTTAAACTTATTTCAATATTCTGCTGCTTCCAACAAATTATTCAATTATCCCCTTTTATATACATATTTAAATATTTCATACTGAAACGTACTGTAACTCATCAAAGCCGTGCCATTACTCATAGATCTTTTTTTTTCTTTTTTTAAATAAATATGGTGTGTACGACATTTGATGATATAAACTTAGTTAATAAAATTAAATCCTAATTGAACAGCAGTCGTGCAGTATCAAAATAAATCCTGATTGGTAAGTAATCATGCAATATACGAATAAATCTTGATTATTCATTAGTCGTGCAACATAAAAATAAATCCTGTTTGATTAGTAGTTGTGCAACATAAAAATAAATCTTGATTGATCAGTAGTCCTGCAGTATAAAAATAAATCCTGACTGATCAGTAGTTGTGCAATATAAAAATAAATCCTGATTTATCAGTAATCGTGCAATATATGTTGCATGAATGGTTTGAAAATGACATTTTTTTTGTATATTGTGAACGATGACAATCAGAAAGTTCGTTGGTCTGCACGACAAATTATTCTTTCGTTATATGATATACATATTTTATCATTAATATTAGGTGATGTAAGGACATTTTCTTCAAAGACGACAATACCAATGGAAAACTACGCTCTACAATACCAACGACAGGTACCGATTTTAAAACATTAATAAATTAAAACATTTTTGCTTGTCTTGAGAAGGTCTTGGTGAAGAGACACCGTCTTTGCTGATCAAGATTTCTTGTATAAGAATATGTTACTTTTATTGCTATTTTTCTTAATAAGGAGGCAACGGAACCTTTCCAATAATGACTACTACAACAATGAAGACAAAAATCCAAACAACATCAAGTACCAAGGTTAAAACATCTACAGGTATGTAGAAATGCACCTTTCAGTTGAGTATTTGCGAACCTATTCAAAAAATAATTAAAACCTACAGACTCTGAAAAGGAACTTCTTTACCATGAGCATGAAATTATAGATCGGTATGCTTTCTGAATACGTTAGTATCAAAGTACAGAATGTACTCATGGGAGCTGAATCATTCAACAACTTAAAAAAAATCAATCCATCATCGCATTGATTCAATAAAAAAAAACAAAGTTAACATATAACACGTATTTAAGAGAAAAACGAACGATATGCACTTTCTCCTAATCCTATTTTTCATCAGCAATGGACTTGTCCATCCAAAACCATGGTATTAAGATAATGAACGCGGTTTAATGATGAACATTAATAGGAAAGCTGAAAAAAGCTTTTACTTAGAAAATTTCATGTAAAGAATAATCGTTTTTACCTTCTCTTCTAAACAATGTCTGATGAAATAGAAAGATGCATATGATGCCTTACCTGCTTATGATTCTTCGGGCAAACTTAAGAGTAAATTGGCTCACACCTGACGCAAACTGCGTGATAGCTGAGGGAGGCTGAATATAGTTCACCTGTCAAGAATGCATTTATTAATCCATTGAAAAAGATTTAATTGCCATACCGACTAGAACGGACAAATGAAAACAAGGGGGTATCAACTTGTTCATAATTATTATATTTATTTTTTACTATAATGTTTATATATATATAATTATTATTTAAATTGACTTAAAACCATTATATACTTTTTATTTTTATTTTCACGTAGAAGTCCATCAATTTAATTTCCTTCAGATTTTTAATCTCATTTCCAAGTTTTATACCATCTTTACTTTAAAGCTTACCTAAGCCGAAAGCTAATTACCCGTCAGTTAAGTATTTGCGACTCTAAAAACGAACTTCTTTACCATTTGCATGAAAATATAGATCGATATGCTTCCTGAATATGTTTGTATTATCTAACTGCTAAAGGTCAAAGTACAGAATGTACTCGTTGGAGTTGAACCATTCAATAACTTAAAAATATAAATCCACCATGGTACAATGTAGTGATTCAGTTAAAACCTATAACATGTATTTCAGAGTTAAAAAGGAACGGTATGCACGTTGTCCTAACCTTTAACCCCTTTTTTTCAGCAGCTATGGCCTTGTCCATCTAGGCAAGGTATTTATTTATTGAAATATTAAATGCGCTTTAATGTTGTACATTAAAAGGAAAGCTGAAAAAGCTTTTACTTAGAAAATTCCATGTACAATTTTTTTTTTTTACTTTTTTCTATAAAACGTCGGATAAAATACAAAGCTGTATATACCATACACAGGAAAAAGTTGCTCGCATAAAGTTTATATCAAATTTGCATGCATTTGATGTGAATTCTTTGCATGAGAAAGAAACAAAAAAAGACAATATCACATGAAAATTATGCGAAAAATTCATGCGTTTTTGACATAACTTTCATATTAATTTTACATGAAGATCATATCGCATAGATATCGTGCAAAGAAAAAATCACATGAATGTTCTTAAAATAATCATGTGAATAGCGTACAAACCAATTCACATATTTGTACAATTTTCATGATTTTTGCATAATTTTCAAGTAAAATAAAAATCAAATGAATATCATGTGAGCCACTTTTCCCTGTGTACCTGCGTATGACTCTTAGGGCAAACGTCAAAGTAAATTGGCTCACACCTGGCGCAAACTGCATGATAACTGAAGGAGACTGAACATAGTTCATCTGTCAAGAATGCATTTAGTAATCCATTGAATAAGATTTGATTGCTATAAAGGACAAATGAAAAAAGGGGGTTTCAACTTGTTAATAATTATTTTTATGTTTATTATAATGTTTACATGTCGGTATTTATTATTTAGTTTGACTTAAACCCTATAATGTACTTTTTTGCCTCTTTTCACTTATAAGTCCAATTTAATTTCATTCAATTTGTCAATCTTATTTACAAGTTTTAAATCATCTTTACTTTAAAGCTCACCTAAGCTGAAAACTCAGCTGAGCTTTCCAAATCACCATTGTCCAGCGTCTGTCCTTCCGTCTGTCTGTACATCCGTCTCTTAAATTCTAACATTTTTAACTTCTCCAGAACCACTGGGCCAATTTAAGCCAAAGATAGCACAAAGCGTTCTTGGGTAAAAGGAACTTGAATTAATCAAATGAAGAGCAAAGCCTGTTTCTGAGAGGAGATAAATCAAGAAAAGGCAAGAAGAAGACGGAGTAATTAGAATACCTTCTCTAGATCCACTGGGCAAGAAAACGCAAAACACTTGGAATCTTCCTGAGGAAGTGTTAATTCTAATTTTTCTCGAATTATGACCCCTGGTTGTAAGGCGAGACTTTGAAAGGAATTGATATTTCAATCATAAGTATCTCAGAAAAATTATGAATTATTTACTTCTTGCTAAACTCTGGGCTAAAAAACATGAAACTTATATTGAATGCTCCAGAGGAAGTGTAGATTCTAAATTGTTAAAGTCACAACCCCTGGAGTTGAAGGTGAGCCATAGTAAGGAATGGAAGTTTTACGTTAAAATCTATATGAGAAAAATCTTTTCAAGAACTAAAAATGAAGAAACTTTTGTGAGAGCTTCCTGAGGTACAGTACCGACCAGACACAACCCAACAGAAAGCGAACCCAAAGGGCACCAGGGTTCGCTTTCTGGGTTAGCTTCGGGTTCGCTTGGGGTCCGCTAAAGCGGAGCGAACCCGCAGCGGACCCGTAGAGGATCCAGAGCGAACGCCGAAAGCGAACCCCAAATTCAGTAGCGAACCCAGAAAGCGAACGCGCGTTCGGTGTTGCGCAACAGAGCTGTCAAATAGGATTAGCGAAAAGACGTGTTAACCAGTCAGCGCATCGACCAATCGGCATGCCTGTTTGTTATTCGATGTAAATCAAAACATTGTACACGTAATGCCTGTTTATGTATAGTTTGAAACTATTATTAACATGATGAAAAAAAAATTATATTTATATTTTGATTATCCAGGTAGCATGTTATATTTACATATTTATTTTCTTTATAAAATAATAATAAAATAAGATAAAATAAATTTATCACACATTAAAATGAAATAAAATAAATTTATCAGACAATACGCCCTTTAATGTATAAAAGAATCAAAAGACAATAATGGTTATTACAATGTTACTAAAATATGAAAGAAAAAAAATGGTCTTTGACAAATTATAGCATTTCATCATCTCAAGATTTTGTACAAGAACATGTACATGTACGTGCTTTCATTCAATTACTTTATTTTTATTATTCTAATTCACATTTTCCTTTAAATCCAGATGAACATCAAACTTATCGATCTTGTTAATTAAATGTACAGCATAAATGTACATGTATGTCCAATCTTAGATTAGGAAAAAATCTCATTTTTTAAATTTCTATGGTATTATTTTGATTAATCTTTTACAAAAAAAAAAAAAAAATAATGTAAAGCTTGATTTAAATACATGTATATAGGGAAAGATTATCTTTTCAATTCTAGTTGTCATACATGAAGACCTAATGTTTGAAATTTTGTAACTACTTGCAAGTCAGCCCAAAAACCACAAAAAATACTTTTCACTTTCTTTCACGTCGACGTATAAGTACAGGTGTAAATGTACACAAACCTCTTTCATATACTACATGAAGTTTTCGAAAAACTTTATATATATAAAAAAAACTTCACGTGTACATTGTATATTGTTTTGTACTTGGACTTGAAAAGTTCACGTACATAGTACCTTGTATATCAACATTAGTAAATTGAACTTACAAAAATACGTTGATACGAAAACGTACATGTATTTTTCCATTACATAGGTACCTGTACTTGAACTTTTTTAAATTGTCATAACAATTTAATTCTAACACTTAAATAATGATAGTTTCAAAGTGAAGCCGGGGTTATCACGTGTCGGTAAACATCCACCTGTTTCGGAGATCTTGCGGGTGTAAAGAGCAATTACAATTTTATTTTTAACTGACACTTGGATGTATACTGTATCCATAATCACGGTATACCTGAGTATATACCCCCCCCCCCCTTCCTACATTCAAACCTTCCATAAACCCTTCGAATCCCTAAAGTTACCCCGTCTGGGCACGTGATCAATGAGAAATACAATTAAAGTTTTTCTGATTTTTGAATTTGGAAACGTCTTAGTTCTTTGATACGTTGCATGAAGAGTATATGTTCATGTAATTTGCTGCCACCTGAATGCACTTAATGAAACGAGAACAATGTCATGGCGCGGAGACCGAACACATCAATTTCAGGTACAGTAAAATAGTTTTACTAGAGAGAGAGAGAGAGAGAGAGAGAGAGAGAGAGAGAGAGAGAGAGAGAGAGAGGAGCACAGTATATTATTTGAAATTAAAATTGCTTCAACAGGTCCAAAGAAAACAATTCGAGAAAGGGGGGGGGGGGGACTCATAGAAAGTAAAAAAAAATCATCGGGCGTTATTATTTAAATTTCATTTTCTGAATCATGGGAGTTAACAATTTTTTATTTCTTGTTTGTTTGTTTTCTTTCTCATTTTATGTACTTTTATACATTTAGAATTTTGTTTAATATGCTGCTCCAGTATGTATGCAGTGGGGGGAGGGAGGGGGGTGTCATGAACCAGTAAAGAACACACACTATTAAAATGATCATTTATTTGAAAATAACTTTAAAAAAATTGATCAATATATTCTTATCAGGGGAACAATTATAAGTTGTTGTTATTGTTTTTTTGTTTTTTTTTTTTGTTTGTTTGTTTGCTTGTTTGTTTTTATTTTTATTATTATTATGATTTTTTTTTTTTTGTGATAAATTTTCCGTTAAACTTGCCTTGTAAAACAATGATTTCTAGCATAAAATTAAATTAAATGAATTGTAAAAACGAAACTCAACTTACACTGTGTGAGAATTTTTAGTGATTATCACGACATTAATGTACATGTAATGGACGACAACCTAGCTTAAATGTAAACTGCTA